GTGCTCGCTCTCTCCAACATCGCAGGTGAGTCTCGACTCATTCGGCCGCCCTCAGTCCCCACCTCCCTCACTCGCTACCGCCCTCAGTTCTCACCTCCCTCACTCGCTACCGCTCGCTACTGTCACCTGCGTTCCCTCTCCTCCTGCTCGCACTCTCCAGTATCGCCGGAGAACCTCGATTCGTCTGGAAAGTCATTGTTATCGTCGTGTCCTCACTCGCCCCCGTCCTCACTCGCCCCCGTCCTCACTCGCCCCCGTCCTCACTCGCCCCCGTCCTCACTCGCCCCCGTCCTCACTCGCCCCCGTCCTCACTCGCCCCCGTCCTCACTCGCCCCCGTCCTCACTCGCCCCCGTCCTCACTCGCCCCCGTCCTCACTCGCCCCCGTCCTCACTCGCCCCCGTCCTCACTCGCCCCCGTCCTCACTCGCCCCCGTCCTCACTCGCCCCCGTCCTCACTCGCCCCCGTCCTCACTCGCCCCCGTCCTCACTCGCCCCCGTCCTCACTCGCCCCCGTCCTCACTCGCCCCCGTCCTCACTCGCCCCCGTCCTCACTCGCCCCCGTCCTCACTCGCCCCCGTCCTCACTCGCCCCCGTCCTCACTCGCCCCCGTCCTCACTCGCCCCCGTCCTCACTCGCCCCCGTCCTCACTCGCCCCCGTCCTCACTCGCCCCCGTCCTCACTCGCCCCCGTCCTCACTCGCCCCCGTCCTCACTCGCCCCCGTCCTCACTCGCCCCCGTCCTCACTCGCCCCCGTCCTCACTCGCCCCCGTCCTCACTCGCCCCCGTCCTCACTCGCCCCCGTCCTCACTCGCCCCCGTCCTCACTCGCCCCCGTCCTCACTCGCCCCCGTCCTCACTCGCCCCCGTCCTCACTCGCCCCCGTCCTCACTCGCCCCCGTCCTCACTCGCCCCCGTCCTCACTCGCCCCCGTCCTCACTCGCCCCCGTCCTCACTCGCCCCCGTCCTCACTCGCCCCCGTCCTCACTCGCCCCCGTCCTCACTCGCCCCCGTCCTCACTCGCCCCCGTCCTCACTCGCCCCCGTCCTCACTCGCCCCCGTCCTCACTCGCCCCCGTCCTCACTCGCCCCCGTCCTCACTCGCCCCCGTCCTCACTCGCCCCCGTCCTCACTCGCCCCCGTCCTCACTCGCCCCCGTCCTCACTCGCCCCCGTCCTCACTCGCCCCCGTCCTCACTCGCCCCCGTCCTCACTCGCCCCCGTCCTCACTCGCCCCCGTCCTCACTCGCCCCCGTCCTCACTCGCCCCCGTCCTCACTCGCCCCCGTCCTCACTCGCCCCCGTCCTCACTCGCCCCCGTCCTCACTCGCCCCCGTCCTCACTCGCCCCCGTCCTCACTCGCCCCCGTCCTCACTCGCCCCCGTCCTCACTCGCCCCCGTCCTCACTCGCCCCCGTCCTCACTCGCCCCCGTCCTCACTCGCCCCCGTCCTCACTCGCCCCCGTCCTCACTCGCCCCCGTCCTCACTCGCCCCCGTCCTCACTCGCCCCCGTCCTCACTCGCCCCCGTCCTCACTCGCCCCCGTCCTCACTCGCCCCCGTCCTCACTCGCCCCCGTCCTCACTCGCCCCCGTCCTCACTCGCCCCCGTCCTCACTCGCCCCCGTCCTCACTCGCCCCCGTCCTCACTCGCCCCCGTCCTCACTCGCCCCCGTCCTCACTCGCCCCCGTCCTCACTCGCCCCCGTCCTCACTCGCCCCCGTCCTCACTCGCCCCCGTCCTCACTCGCCCCCGTCCTCACTCGCCCCCGTCCTCACTCGCCCCCGTCCTCACTCGCCCCCGTCCTCACTCGCCCCCGTCCTCACTCGCCCCCGTCCTCACTCGCCCCCGTCCTCACTCGCCCCCGTCCTCACTCGCCCCCGTCCTCACTCGCCCCCGTCCTCACTCGCCCCCGTCCTCACTCGCCCCCGTCCTCACTCGCCCCCGTCCTCACTCGCCCCCGTCCTCACTCGCCCCCGTCCTCACTCGCCCCCGTCCTCACTCGCCCCCGTCCTCACTCGCCCCCGTCCTCACTCGCCCCCGTCCTCACTCGCCCCCGTCCTCACTCGCCCCCGTCCTCACTCGCCCCCGTCCTCACTCGCCCCCGTCCTCACTCGCCCCCGTCCTCACTCGCCCCCGTCCTCACTCGCCCCCGTCCTCACTCGCCCCCGTCCTCACTCGCCCCCGTCCTCACTCGCCCCCGTCCTCACTCGCCCCCGTCCTCACTCGCCCCCGTCCTCACTCGCCCCCGTCCTCACTCGCCCCCGTCCTCACTCGCCCCCGTCCTCACTCGCCCCCGTCCTCACTCGCCCCCGTCCTCACTCGCCCCCGTCCTCACTCGCCCCCGTCCTCACTCGCCCCCGTCCTCACTCGCCCCCGTCCTCACTCGCCCCCGTCCTCACTCGCCCCCGTCCTCACTCGCCCCCGTCCTCACTCGCCCCCGTCCTCACTCGCCCCCGTCCTCACTCGCCCCCGTCCTCACTCGCCCCCGTCCTCACTCGCCCCCGTCCTCACTCGCCCCCGTCCTCACTCGCCCCCGTCCTCACTCGCCCCCGTCCTCACTCGCCCCCGTCCTCACTCGCCCCCGTCCTCACTCGCCCCCGTCCTCACTCGCCCCCGTCCTCACTCGCCCCCGTCCTCACTCGCCCCCGTCCTCACTCGCCCCCGTCCTCACTCGCCCCCGTCCTCACTCGCCCCCGTCCTCACTCGCCCCCGTCCTCACTCGCCCCCGTCCTCACTCGCCCCCGTCCTCACTCGCCCCCGTCCTCACTCGCCCCCGTCCTCACTCGCCCCCGTCCTCACTCGCCCCCGTCCTCACTCGCCCCCGTCCTCACTCGCCCCCGTCCTCACTCGCCCCCGTCCTCACTCGCCCCCGTCCTCACTCGCCCCCGTCCTCACTCGCCCCCGTCCTCACTCGCCCCCGTCCTCACTCGCCCCCGTCCTCACTCGCCCCCGTCCTCACTCGCCCCCGTCCTCACTCGCCCCCGTCCTCACTCGCCCCCGTCCTCACTCGCCCCCGTCCTCACTCGCCCCCGTCCTCACTCGCCCCCGTCCTCACTCGCCCCCGTCCTCACTCGCCCCCGTCCTCACTCGCCCCCGTCCTCACTCGCCCCCGTCCTCACTCGCCCCCGTCCTCACTCGCCCCCGTCCTCACTCGCCCCCGTCCTCACTCGCCCCCGTCCTCACTCGCCCCCGTCCTCACTCGCCCCCGTCCTCACTCGCCCCCGTCCTCACTCGCCCCCGTCCTCACTCGCCCCCGTCCTCACTCGCCCCCGTCCTCACTCGCCCCCGTCCTCACTCGCCCCCGTCCTCACTCGCCCCCGTCCTCACTCGCCCCCGTCCTCACTCGCCCCCGTCCTCACTCGCCCCCGTCCTCACTCGCCCCCGTCCTCACTCGCCCCCGTCCTCACTCGCCCCCGTCCTCACTCGCCCCCGTCCTCACTCGCCCCCGTCCTCACTCGCCCCCGTCCTCACTCGCCCCCGTCCTCACTCGCCCCCGTCCTCACTCGCCCCCGTCCTCACTCGCCCCCGTCCTCACTCGCCCCCGTCCTCACTCGCCCCCGTCCTCACTCGCCCCCGTCCTCACTCGCCCCCGTCCTCACTCGCCCCCGTCCTCACTCGCCCCCGTCCTCACTCGCCCCCGTCCTCACTCGCCCCCGTCCTCACTCGCCCCCGTCCTCACTCGCCCCCGTCCTCACTCGCCCCCGTCCTCACTCGCCCCCGTCCTCACTCGCCCCCGTCCTCACTCGCCCCCGTCCTCACTCGCCCCCGTCCTCACTCGCCCCCGTCCTCACTCGCCCCCGTCCTCACTCGCCCCCGTCCTCACTCGCCCCCGTCCTCACTCGCCCCCGTCCTCACTCGCCCCCGTCCTCACTCGCCCCCGTCGGTTGCTGCATGACTCTCATCTTAATGTTCATCCGCTGGCCGACGTCCCAGGTTACTACTACCCGGTGCTCTGGTCGCCCGCCCGCCGTGCGTCGCTGCTGGCGACCCGCGTGACGCTCCTGTCGCACTGGTGGGGGAACGCGTCGCATCTGTCGCCGGCATCGCTGCAGTCGCTGCACTCTTTGCAGTCGCTGCCGTCGCTGCCGTCGCTAGGCAAGGAAGAGGGCTACGAGCTGAGGAGAATCATTGCCAGCGGCGAGGAACCTGGGGAAGCGGGGAGGAGAGGGGAAACGGGAGGGGGAAGGGGAGAAGGTGGGGGAGGGGGAGCGGGAGGGGGAAGGGGAGAGGGAGGGGAAGGGGCAGGGGGAAGAGGAGGGGGAACTCGGTTTATACGAGCGGAGGATTCGCAGCATGTTAGAGACGTCCCCATTACTGTGTATAAGAAGGGGACTCGCATAGGGAAAAAAGAAACGGCAGGAGGAGAGGCCGGGCAGAGGGGGGAGAAGTTGGGCAGTCTAGAGATGAATAAAGGCGGAAGGAGGGGAGAAGGAGAGGAAGAGAGGGGAATAAGTGGGTCGGAGGAGGGACGGACGGCGGAGGTGGGTGGGGGAAGGGCGGATGAGGCTGTACACGTGGAGCATTGGGATTGGCAGAGAGAGTACTTGGAGGACGTGGCGATCCGGGTGTCCCAAGAAAAGCTGTGCCGCGGGATATTTCCGAGGGGCGTTGCAACAGAAGAGGACGAGAAAAGGTATGCTGAGGGTTGTCTGGGGGTTATCGCAAGAATGCCTGGAGGACGTGGCGATCTGGGTGTCCCAAGAGCAGCTGTGCCGCGGGATATTCCCGAGGGGGGTTGCAGCGGGGGAGGATGAGAAGAGGTATGTTTGGGGATTGTCTGGGTAAGCCTCGATTGCCCATCTCTCCGGCCTCGACAGCCCGCCGCTTGCTGGTCTTCCTTGCCTCCCCGGACTGGGCAGCAGCCTACTCAGCCACGCCTCTCACCTGTTTCTCCCCCTCTCCCCCTACCGCTCGTCCTCCTCTCCCGTCCCTCCCCACAGCAGCTCTTCCATCTCCGGCCTGGTCCACCTCACCTCCCCCACTCTTCCCTCCGCTCGCCCGCCTTCCATGCCCGCGGCCCGCCATGGCTTGGGCAACAGCCTGCTGTGCCACGCCTCTCACCTGTTCTTGATCCCCCCTCCCCACCCCTGTCTTACCCCTGCTCCCCCGCACACCAGCACCCAGCCCATCTCCCGCCTGGCCCACCTCTCCCGCCCCGCCCTCTCGCTGGTCTTCCTGGCCCGCCACGGCCTCGGGAACTCGCTGCGCGGCTTCGTGTCTCACCTTCCCGCTGCTCTTCAACCCCTCTCACCATCTTCTTTCCCTACCAACAGCACCCAGCCTATTTCCCGCCTGGCCCACCTCTCCCGCCCCGCCCTCCGCTCGCTGGTCTTCCTGGCCCGCCACGGCCTCGGGAACTCCCTGCGTGGCTTCGTGTCCGCCTTCGTGTTTGCACGCCTGGCGGGGCGACGGCTAGTCACCCTGCATGCGGGGGAGCACCACAAGGTGTATGACCTCCTGTGCCACGCCTTTCACTGCGGGTTTGACGGGGTCCGGTGGGGGGGACTGGGGGGGAGTGGAGGGGCGGGAGAGGCGGGGAGAGTCGGGGAAGGAGAGGGGGGAAGAGAGGGGGGAGGAGAAGGGGAAGGAGGGGGAGGGGGAGTAACGGGAGGAGGAAGAGGGAGAGGAGGGAATGGAACGGAGGGTGGAGGAGGGGGAGGAGCGGGGGAGGGGGGCATGCTGCTGCCGATGGAGCTGTATCGGCGGTTCAATGAGATGCAGCCCAAGTATCTGATGGAAAGCATTAAAAGCATTCCAGGTGAGCATGTCATGTGTGAGGGGCGTTGATTGCTGTCTCTGTGTGCATGCATCTCCGAGTGTGTCTCATGTACGAGCCACACGGTTCAATGAGATGGAGCCCAAGTATCTGATGGAGAGCCTTAAGAGCATTCCAGGTGGGTTGGTGTGTGCGTGTGCATGAGCGTAATTGGCATGCGGCATGCCTGACTCTGTTCCAAGGTTAAGGACTCTGTTCTGTATGTATGAGGGGCAACTGACTTGTCTCACTGTAGCAATGAGGTGTGTACAGCACTCGCCCCGTCCCACCCCATTATCGGGGCTCTTTCTGAGGCGTTAAAAAGCCGTGTACTGAGCATATATTTGCCCATGTGACTGTAAACGTGTGTTCCTGCTGCACATGTGCGACTATATACTTCCCTGTGCCTGTGCATATGCGTGTGCCTACTGCTCCCCTGCTCACAGCAATGAGGAATGCCATTGCCTCCACCCACCCCATCCTGGGGGCTCGCACCCGCTTTAAGTGCCTGGTTGTGTGTGACCCTAAAGGCCTGGATGTGACTCTAAATACGTGTGCCTGTGCGTGGCTGTACGCTGCTCCCCTGCTCACAGCAATGAGGAATGCCATTGCCTCCACCCATCCCATCCTTGGGGCTCGCACCGGCTCTCACTTTGACCTCTTCTGGCACCGCAACGACACGCTCAGGAGCTGCGTCTACGCTGCCTTCAAGTGCAGGTGGGTTCGTTGACTTCGTGCCAACCAGACGTTATTTTTCAGTGAGTGCGGTGAGCGCAGTGAGCGCAGTGAGCGCAGTGAGCCCTACCTCGCCCTCCCTCACCCTCCCTCGCCCTCCCTCACTCTTCCTCGCCCTCCCACACCCTCTGCCTCCCTCACTCACCCACTCACTACTTGGCAGGCATTCCTGTTCATTGCTTTACAGGTCCACTCACTCTTATGGTCATATCTTCCTTATTCTTCCTGGTTTTCTCTCTCGCTCTTGTGCTCCTGGACTTTTCCCCCTTGCTCCTGGGCTCTACCTCACATTTCCTGCGCTCACTTCCTCTCCCCGCACAATCCCACTTCTCTCCTCACTCGCTCCCGCCCATTTCTCCTCCCCGTTCCTTCACTCTCATTCTCATCTTTCCCCCACACTCCCTCACTCACTCACTCACTTCTCTCTCTCACACTTCCTCACTTTCCCCCCGTCTCTCTCACAGCTCCCTATGGTGCGTGCATTCCCGAGCCATGTTCGCATTCATCGGCCAAAGGGGACCTTCCAAGAAGCTTCTCACCACCATCTCCGCCATCCTCCACAGATCCACCCCTCTTAAACCCCCCCTCTCCTCCAACCCCTCCTCCCTCCTCCCCTCTTCTTCTTCTGCTGCTGCTGCCAGTACTGGTGGCAATGCAGCAACCACCACAGAAACCACAGGACCCTCAACCCCCCCTTCCTCCGTCCCCTCGCTCCCTCCGTTCCTCCTCCTGCCGCCCAACAATGCAATAGCTTACTTCGATATAGCCCTGCACGTGCGCACACGCTCCCTAGCAGTAGAGAAAGCGGTGAAGGGCGATACAGAGGGGTACCTCAAAGGGGAGTGCGAGGACTGGGACCGAGCCGCAGTGGTCCGGCCGCCGTACCTGCGTACGTGCCTGTGGGACTGCATTGGACACCTGGTTCGGGAGCTGAAACCGACCCTGCTGCAGCAGCGAAGGCTGGCGGACAAACGGCTAAGGAGAGAAGGCTTACTGGAGGGGGGAAAAGGGACAGGAGGGGTGGAGGGGCAAGAAGGGAAGAAGGGAGGAGACGGGGAGGAGGAAGAGGAGGAAGGAGAAGAGGAGGATGAAGAATTAAACATATTTCTTGCAACAGACGATGCGGAGCATAGGACGGAGTTTGTGACTCTATTAAAGCCGCTCGGAGCGGTTTATTTCTCTGCAGGAGACATCTACCACACGTCTAAAGCAAGCCCTGGGAGTCTCGATAGAGGCCTCCCCACTATGGCTGAGTTCTTTATGATGTCTAAGTCGCGGGCTATTATAGAGGCTGGCCCCTATATAAGCACGTTTGCGTATTTTGCTGCGCTGACTGGCAATGGGACGCTAGCTGGTGTTAGCACTCAGAATGGGGGTTGTCAGTTGAGACCTGAACACCTTGCCTGGTGATTCTGTAGTGAAATATATGTAATTATAATGAAAGGATGTACTGGTATCCTACTTCCTGATAAGCATCCTCAAGGTTGTACGGCTGGCAAAGCAGCCACCCTTTGCATGTACCGTAATCTCCTCACGTTTGCGTCAATCGTATTCAAATCACACGACACAGGAATATCGTATTTTATTGAGGGTTTTCAAAATGTTCCATGACGCGGATTCGAGTCTCTCAATGATGGATTTGCCCCGGAAAATCTCAGCGGAATTGGGTCGTCAAGCCTGACGACCCTCTGACGACTTGACGACATGCTGCCCCGGGCAGAAAAAAACTAAAACCCCATCGGATGGCATGCCATCCGAGGGAGCCTCAACCCTAAATCCATGCCTCCCCGCGTTTAGGGTTGAGGCTCCCTGACCGGATGCATGCCCGTCTGGGGTTTATTTTTTTTGCCCGCGGGCAGCGAGCTCCCCCGGGCGGACTCGCTTGTCCGCTGAGATATTTTCGGCGGATTCAAATCCTGACAGCGATTCTGACACATTCTGGCACGCACCAAAATGTTTCATCGTGAGTCCGCCGAACACCAAGATGCGCACGTAACATCACCCTTTTGTTACTAGTAAAACAAATTTTGTCAAGGATGGTCTTATAATCTACAAATGAAAAAGGGGGGTCCTCAAGGGAATAGCTTGAATAAAAGACCCGTAGTCTGGAAAGAAGACCCGGGGGCCTCTACGCAGGGAGGGGCTTTTAGCCGGGAGATTACCGTATTGGAAAGACTAGATGCATTGCTTTATAACCCCATATCTAACAGCATCGTGGTAGACACAGCACTCCTTGGCACCCTCCCATCCCATTCACAGCCTCGCCTTGCTCCACTCCTCTCCATTCCCCTTCCCCACCACCGCTGTCAGGCGCCCCACTGCCAGCAGCTGCCCTGCCCTGGGAGCAGTCAAGGAGACCCTCTGTCCAGGCGCTCCTCCCTCTGCCCTTGCAATCTGCTCATGGTTCGGATGGCCCTGCCTCTGCTCGTCTCGACCCTGCTCGTCTTGCTTTTGAACGGATAATCGCACCTCCCACACCTGAGAGGCAATGCAAGGACCGTAAGAAATGAGAGGCAGTGGGTGAGAACAAGCAGCAGACATGCCTGTCTTGTGAGTTCAACTGAAACTTCACGAGGCAGTGGGTGCGTGGGACTAACGAGGCCAAGCAGCAGCGATAAAAAAATGATTTAAATACGTCCCACCTGCTGCCCCACCTGCTGGCCCCCACCTGCTGCCCCCCACCTGCTGGCCCATTCGCGTGCATACGTTCCTCCTGATAGCCCTACCTGCTGTCCCTCACTACCTGCACGGTGCGCCCCACACGCAGAGGCACAGCCACAGCAACAACAGGAGTGCCGAGGGGGCACGGCCTGAGATGGCTCGTGGCCACCTCCACCCCTGCCACCGCCCCTCCTGCTGCTATGCTCGCCCCCACGCTGCCCAGGGATTCGGTGATTAGGGCTGATACTCCCCCATGTGTTAGAGGGCCCTACGACAGCAAGGGCCCTCGCGAAATGTTAGACTTGGCAGGTTGACGACCGACGACCTGGTCTACTCGGCACCGTCGCACAGGTTCGATGGCAGTCAAGTGTGACTACGGGTGAATGCGAGCTGCAGTAAGGAATCTGCTGAAGTCGGTGCTGGGAAGTAGAGTCGTGGGAGTCTTTGTGTGCTTCCTTATGAGGCACGCCACTCCCAAGCTGAGTCGGATGGAGTTGCGTGCTCGGAAGGTTTTCGCTGCTGAGTTGGATGGAAGTTTGGCGGGGCGCGTTCGCCAACTCCCACAGCACTTTCGTGTGGGTTGGGTTACTCGCAGCGCCCTCGCTACCTTTTGTGAACGCTTGCTTGCCTTTATATGTTTGTGTTTGCTTGTGTGTTTCATATATTCTAGTTTCCTAGTGAAGCTCAATCTCTACTCAAATTCTCACTTAGTCTTTTGAGACCAACGCTACCGAATTCCTAGCGCAACATCATTCCCATAAGCAGAATCTCTCTCGCCGTCGTAGTGCTCTCCATAGTATTCCTTCATGGTGCGGTGAGCGTGGAACGAACACGCATAGATTTCCGTCGTCGATTATAGTGACGTTCGTATACTCGCCTTGGCGTGCGGCGTTAGTGAAGGGCGCTTATTAATTTAAGTTGAATTTTTCTTAATGTCCCTCCAGTTACGTTCTCGGACCCAAGGATAGGGCGTTTGGTAATTTATTACCACTCGTCTGAGGACCCTTGTGAGGTGACCCCGAGACGAGGGATTTAAGGAAGGGACAATTTATTTTAATTTGTGGTACCTTATAGAGGCGTCGTAAAGGATGAGTACGGAGGAGGCGAACGTGGAGGCCGATAATTTCCGCGCATTAGAGGAGGACCTCGTGGCTCGTCGCTCTCGTGGTGAGCTTAGTAGTGAAGATTACGAGCTCATGTTGGAGGGAATACGCGCTCGTCAGCGTCGCGATCGTCCCTCGCCACGTGTAGAGCAAGCCGCGGGAGGAACTAGTGCGTGGGATATGGCTGTTGATGGCGGAGATGGCGATGACGAGGAGTTTGATGGGTTGGTGTCGCGTGGGGTCCTGCGAGGAACGACTCGGTTTAGTACGGCTAGCGTCGGTGGTATACAGGAGCGTGTTCATCGCGCAGCGGCGTCACACGAGCGTGCGAACGTAGGACGACAGAGCGTTGCTGGAGGAGGGAATGCGGAGGAGTACGATAGTGGAGCTATGCCAGGCATTACCCCGATTGGATCGATGTCGAGGGACGAGGGAATAGCCCCCAACTATGGCTTCTTCAAATTCACTCCAGACAAAATCGTCGTGCCTAGGCCACTCGAAGGACGCCACGACCTGTCGACATGGGTAGAATCGATCGAGCCGCAGCTTGAGATCGCTCAGCTAAAGCGTTTCATCGACGGTACCACTCCTATTCCCCCAGCACACGCAGTGGTGCTTCTCACACAGTTTCGCGCCATGCAGTTACTAACGTTCACCACGATTTCCCGATGCTGCTCCCCAACCGTACAGATCGCCCTTAAGGCGTGTCGCATGAAGGTAGATGCCGGCTTCCACGCGTGGCAGTTTATCATGCGCACGTATCAAGCGAAAGACGACCTGTATATAGGTCAGTTAGAGCAAGCGCTCACTAACCTCGAGATGGGAGAGCACGAGTCCGCCACATCCTATTGCAACCGTGCACAGCAGATCCTAGTGAACTTGAGGATGGCCGGCGTAGATTATTCGCAGGCGTCTTACATTACTCATGTCGTGAAGGGGTTGCCACAACAGTACAACCTCTTACGCAGGATGCTGAAGCTGCCGCAGGTACGCAAGGAGTTGGACGAGGACACCCTCGCTAGCTACATTATCGAGGAGGAGTGTACGCTGGCAGCGGAGGGACGGAAGGACCAATTTCTTCCCCAGGCCAACCAGGTCTTTACCAAGAAGGGTAAGCCCCAATCCCAGCAGACTTCATCCCCTTCCCCTCCCACTACGGCACAGCAGCAGCAGCCTAAGACTGGGGGTGGGGTTGGAGGTGGAGGAGAGAAGTGGAAAGGGGCTAAGGATG